TGTAGTGTAATACTAAGAATAAAATTATTATATTCTCAAATTTTCGGGAAAATGAATTGGGTCGTTTGAATATTGATTTGTAATAATCAATAAAATAACGAAACAATTTACTCACGTATACCTACGTATCAGAGGCAACTGAAAATCGTGTATGTATAAACATTCTTAATTTAAGATGACAGGCGTAACAGCATATGCGAGAGCCAAACAGAGAAACTGTAAACAAAACGACCGTCGGTTTTATTGCTTCGACTTCCGCTTATTATATAAAACATTGGGTTTTATTTTAATTCTTGACGGTGAAATTCACAATTGGTTGATTATAAACATGTCTATTTCACATTCGCGGAATCAAGTGAACGCATAAAACAAATGCAGGTCTGTAATGTTAAAGTCGATGTAAATAAGCGTGCTACCCTTATGTTTCAACCGAGTTTTTCCTTTAACAAATTTTGTGTCTACCAAATTGGGTTGGTTGGGGTGTAATACTAATAATAAGTGTTGCCTTTAATTTAATCAATAAAATAAATTGACTTCATTAATTTTTTTGAACCACCTCTTAAGAAAATCTAAAAAATATGAATGGAATGATAAATCACAAGTACAAACTCATCATATTTTTTGCATTTTAGATAGGATTTATTCAGCAAAATTTAAGGGTGACGTCATCAATTTTTTTAGGAGGGATGAACAAATACATTTTGAACAAAAGTTTACCATGCTTATAATAACTTTAAAATATTCCCAAGATTTCAAAGCATTCGGTTTTGTAATTCCTGATTAAATCGATAAAATAAATTCACGCCTTCATTAATTTTTTTGAGTCACCCTGCATATGCAAATCCAAAAATATGAATGGAATGATAAATCACAAGTACAGACTCATCATATTTTGTACATTGTAGATACGATTTATTCGGAAAACTTTTGAGCTGACCTCATCAGTTTTTTGTAGAAGATAACCAAATATATTTTGACTAAAAATTTATTATGCTCTTTATAACCTTAAAACATCTGCAAGATTTCAAAGCATTCGGTTTTGTAGTTCCTGATTAAATCAATAAAATAAATTTACGCATTCATTAATTTTTTTGAGTCACCCTGTATATGCAAATCGAAAAAATTTGAATGGAATGATAAATCACAAGAAGAGACTCACCATATTTTGTACATTTTAGATAGGATTTTTTCAGCAAAATTTTGTGGTGACATCATAAATTTTTTAGGGGGGACGACCAAATACGTTTTGATCAAAAATTTACCATGCTTATGATAATTTTAAAATGTCTTCAAGATTTCGAAGCATTCGGTTTTGTAGTTCCTGAGTAAATCAGTAAAATAAATTTACGCTTTCATTTATTTTCTTGAATCACCCTGTATATGCAAATCCAAAAAATATGAATGGAGTGATAGATCACAAATACAGACTGATCATATTTTTACAGTTTGGATAGGATTTATTCGGCAAACTTTCGAGCGGACGTCATCAATTTTTTGGAGGGGATAAGCAAATATATTTTGACTAAACATTTATTATGCTCTTTATAACCTTAAAACATCTGCAAGATTTCAAAGCATTCGGTTTTGTAGTTTCTGAGTAAATCAGTAAAATAAATTTACGCATTCATTAATTTTTTTGAGTCACCCTGTATATGCAAATCCAAAAAATATGAATGGAGTGATAGATCACAAGTACAGACTCATCATATTTTGTACATTTTAGATATGATTTATTCCACAAACTTTTGAGCTGACGTCATCAAGTTTTTGGAGGGGATAAGCAAATATTTTTTGACTAAAGATTTATGATGCTCTTTATAGCCTTAAAACATCTGCAACATTTCAAAGCATTCTGGTTAACAGATTAAAAATTACATTTCAAAATGTTGTTTTATAATTTTGATTTTTTTTCCAAAAATCTGGACGTTTCGGGTGAAAAGTCGATTCAGAGTTGTAAACTACATGTGTAGGACTATGTTATTTTATACAATTGAAAACCCATTTACTATGTACATTTTTGAAGTGACGTCATCGCATTAGTGGTGGGGATGATTAGACAAATTTTGGTTAGCGTTTTACCATCTACATGATATTCTTAATATAAGTACAAAATTTCACAACAATCGGTCGAGTACTTTCGGAGATTATCTGTCTAATAAAAATCCGGGACGGCAGACGGACAGACGGACAGACGGACGGAGAGACGGACAGACAGACGGAAATGGGAGACCTATTTCTTCGTCTTCTAGGGGTCATGAAAGATCGAGAAAACGTAAAAGTAGAGAGTCGGCCGACGGACTCGATTACAATACTTCCTTTGCTTACGCTCGGGAAGTAAAAACATGAAGGTAGCCATTCGTCCGATGGACTTATTATAATACTTCTTTAATTAATTTAGATTAAGTTGCTACTTTCGTTCAATAAAAGCTTCCTTAAGGAATTTTTGGATGCAACAATAGAATATTTTTTTGTTCAACGGGGAATTTTTACAACATCATTAAGGCACAACACAAATTTCCTTAATAAATGGCCATTTCATGACCGATTTGAACCACATTTGAATCTACACTTTGATGATTTAATAATCCAATACATAATTATTTTAATAAAAAAAAAGTAGCTGAAAGATCACAGTTTTAGACACATGTTCAATTATAAACAACAACAGGTTAGAATTCTGGATATTCAGGAAAGATGCCAGTACATGTCGCCAAATTACTGCGGAGTTCCATCATACTCCTCAATGCAAGTTGGCAACTCTCCATTTTTTGGTCAATAAACTCTTCAACCTCTGTCTAAACGAGAAAAGAGGTGAATATTTCCAATTTAAGTACATATATGAATGTTGCGATTTAAATAATATCAAATTCAATCAAACTAGGGAATAAACAACCGTTTCTAAACATCTCTGACAACCTACAAATATTTACAAAAAGGGGTAGATTATCCAATGGAAAAGTTTATCTTATGCTCCCTTTTTGTTCCTTTCGCCTTTATAAAAACGACGCCCACATGGTTGGCGAAATGCCGTAACAATTGTAACAAATTTTTTCAACGTTGCGGGTGTGCGCAACAAAACAGTATTCTAACAATAAACTTTGGAATTTACTATTATGAGAATGATATTGTTTTCGTAGAGGTTGTAAATCTGTACAATACATAACAATAACAAACTAAAGTCTCTCCATATTGCATTAAATGTATAAATGGCGTCAATTCAGATTTTTATTAATCTGTGAATCACAGTACAACATTCAGGAACCCTATTTGAGACGTTGTCGTCTCTGCCAAAAAAAATGTAACCCCATTTTTTGCAAGCTCAAACATGGTCGTCAACCCTAGTCCAACGGCTACTTTTATGCCATTAACTAGATTCAACATTAAATACTATAGGCAATGAGATTTTATTGTGGTCATTTCTTGTAATAAATTTCAGCTACCTTGGACACGTTCCAGCGACTCGTTTTCTGTAAAGAGGCAACAGTATAACTTCACTTTTTCTTCTTACAATATCTGAAGTTTTGTGAAAATTTGTAATCCAAAAACTGGCTGTAAAACTTCAACCTAGGCCTCGAGGTTTTCAGAATTTTAATAAAACTAATTAAAACATAAAAAAATTGTTTTCCTGTACGAAAAGGCGAGTGTTTTAATAAACTTTATCACGAAACTTCGACATTAATCTCGGAGTGTCGACAACAATTTCCGGTTGAGTAAAATGAAAATTAAAATTGAAACTTTAATAAAATTGCGAAGTTAATAATAATTAATATAAAATTAAAACACAAGTTGTAAAAATATGTATGGGTTAATAAAAAGAAAACAACTTCATAGAATGAATTAAAATTATATTGGTTATTAGGTATGAGAGTACCCTTATGTAAAAAATAAACATATAATTATCTTAATAGTAACTTAACCCTCCATGAGAGGGCGGAGTTTTAGTCTTTGATATTTCCCGCTAATTTCCCACATTATATTATTGTATCAGGGTACCGGTATACAGGGTGTTTCATCCAATTTAAATTTCTTTAAGAATCGTAAAAAATTAGTTGCGCGATAACGGAATTTTTACATAAAACAACCCACATAAGTAGTTTCTTTTGGAGATACACACTCATAAATAGGGCAGAACTAGCCGTCCAACTTTGTTGATTTATTTGGATCAGTTTGGCTGGAGATCAGACTTAGTTCAGGCGTATTTAAAATATAACCGAACTTTGAGAACAAGCTTTTTCAGTTTCTTGCTGACAGGTCACCGCAAAAGAATTACAGTTTGATACCAACACACAATTCAAATTGTAAAAAAAATCATTAATATCCTACACAGTTAGTGGTGTAGAGATGAACATGTGTTGTCAAAAAACTAATTAAACGTGTAATTTCCTGCATATCATATTTCTTTCAATAGCTTGACGTCATAAAATGTGTTAAACATTATGAGAACTCACAGTGACCTTAACATTAAGTAATTTTTCATTACCGAATTGTTATTTATCTCTGTGAACAAGCACAGAATTACGAAAACATTACGGTTGCATAAAATGTGGTGACGTAATAAATTCACCCCAATGAATAAAACCCCAATTAGTGGAAAATGTAATCTCTCATAAAACCATTCTCGTTTTTTTTTAATTTTACGCATGAAGATTTTACAAATCTTGGATTACTACAGTACCGTGCGGTTATGCGGATGACAATTACGTGTCATTTACATTAGAATGTAAGCTGTCGCTGAAAACTGAAACCCTGAACTGCTATTTCATGATTTTAACTCTTATTCGCCCAGAGCTACGACTTCACTTAAGCTTGTTATAAATGCACATTTCCACAGAACACAAATCATAAAAGTTTCATCTAGCGCTTGTAAGGAAATTAAATTTCTGCCATCAGTTACAGTAGTTACGAAGCTGAGGTATCACCGTAAAACGATTTTTACAAACAATATGTTTCGAAGACGCGTTCCTGCAAGTCTGCAAAACGCCAAACGAGCGCCCATTTACCTGACACTTCGTCTTCTTCTGCGATTGCCATGGTTCTCTGCTGGTGCAATTTTCGCGTAAGTTCGGCTATTACGGAGTGCAGCTCTGTCAGCTGTTCTTCGTATCTCTGGGCTTGCTCGTCCAATTGCTGCTGGAGCCTCTCCTGCAATAAAAAAGTCATTTTAGGCGCACAATAGACCACTTCCACGGGAAATTTTCTGTCACGTTCCTACTTATAACGCGTCAGCACACGACCCCGTTGTTTACCGATCCCTTTCAACCCTCGAAATAATCCAAATGGACGGCAATTCCGGATTAATTAGGGACGTAGAATTTTTTCCTTCGCCTAAGCGGCGGGAGAAAAAGTAAAGTGGTTTATTTTGTTAACGACGGGTCAGAGGCAGAACAAAAAGGCCGGAGTACTTTAACGTACGTGTAATTTGGTAAAAGGTACGTAGGGAGGAGATTCGCAAAATGGAACGCGAGCGGAATTTTTAAATCTAAATATTTATAGAATGGCATTTACATTAATTGTATCTATAATATCTATATTTGTCTCCATCCAGTAAATTTGTGTTTCAGAAAAAAAGGTCGTGACACGGTAACGAAACATGGTTTTTTGGATGCAAAAGAATAAAGGCGAGTGGGACGCAACTGTCATGTATTATGTATTATTTGAGGATAATTTATTCCCTAAATATGTGGTTCATCTGTTGTTTCGCTTTGTCGTGGCCATAAAACAGCTTCCTATAAATTTCTAACAAAACTCCAATTTTTAACTCATGAAAAAATTATTCAAATTTTGTAATTTACAAATGTTTTGTTTGCTGAAAAATTATTAAAATTCCGTGCTGTGTGGCTAAAAATAACTTGCTTTAGGTGGTGATTAATGTAGCAGAAATATTAATACTACAGGTTTTTGTTGTGTTCGAGTTCATTTAATTTGTAAAATTAAACTGTACTTAATTTAAAATGGGCTACTAAACGGACACATGGTTTTACCTAATTAATCTTTCTAACCCATAAATAATTAATTGCAGTTAATTAGACAATTGAGTTTTTTAAAATATTAAAACACGAAAATAATTAAAAGCAATTAGACAAAATTAATTTTTTTGACGCATAAACCAGTGAATAAGGTATAAAATACCGCTACTGCCACAATAAAATTTTTGTCCATCAAAATTTTCCGCCATAAAACTGAGTTTGTAATGCGATGATCTTTGTGTTTTATATCTGATGTGTAGTATGAACGCCACTTGATATGAGTGAATTTAAAGGAAAGCTAACCCTTTTTTGTATCATACAGTTAGCTACCTGAAGGTTAATCGCTCTGACGCGAGGTTCAGATGCATGATTGCTTTGGCAATGTGCCTCTTTAACCGCAAAAATCCGGTATGTGATTATTACACACAATACTCACTCACTGTATGCTTAGCGGTGATAAGGTTTTTTTATTTCTAATCACAATTACTTGTAAATAAACGAGAGTTACTAAAGTTAGTGTATGATGGAAGAAATTGTTCAGTGACGCTGATGATTCCGTTCTATAAATTAAAGTCTTTTGGGCTTACACAAATGTGCAGGTTGATTCCAAAACTTCATGAAAATTTCAAAATATTCGGTATTTCTGCGCATAACATTATTTCATATCAGTGTCGGTCTATCTTCTTAATTTAATCAGAACGGGTAATTATAATTTGTTAAAATTGGTTAAATAAAGCACGCTACGTGTGCAAGTACCACAAAACGGGCGAAATATCAAGTAATTAGTAATTAATTAAGCGTTAAATTACAAATAATTAAAACTCATTAACATGAAGACAAACTGGCTATTTTCAATTTGGTGATTTCGCCACGTCCTTATGTGTGATGATTATGACAGTGTGACCATTAAATATGAATTAGTTGCGATTAAATTTAATTAATCTTAATTGATTACATAATTATTATAGGGTCTACGTGACGAGTGGTCGGTTTCATGTTTTTTCGACGTTTTATAGCTTGTAGAATATAAAAAAAAGGTTTCTCATTTCCATTTGTCTGTCGTTCATTGGCAATTTCATACAAACAACAGGTTTTATGAATCAATTTTATGTTTTAACAATGAGCATCTGTAGGTTTTCGGAAAAAATCAAAATTTATTGTAATTTACAAATTATCTTAGAAATTACGAAACCGACTGCTGCAGAATTCTGTAGCTGCTTTAAGACATTACGAAGTTGGTAAATGGCTAATTATAATTTATCTTTTCATCCCTTCTAAAAATTTGATGACGTTGTTTCAAAATTTTGCTACGCAATTTCATTTGAAACGTTCATAATAGAAAAGTTTGTTCATACACTCCTATTATTACTTCCCGAAGGACTTTCATATTTTTTCCACGTGGCATGACCTCTTGAGTACAAAAAAATGGTCTCCCTTTTCCGTCTGTCTATCTGTCTGGTGTATCCATTTTTATTAGACAAGTAATCTTCGAAACTACCGGACCAATTGTTGTCAAATTTTGTATGTATCTTAGGAATGCCATGTAGATGGTTAAACGCTAACTAAAATTTGCCCAATGGGGTAACGTCACCTCCAAAATTTATAATAAAAAGTTTTTTGAAATTTTATAAGATATTCCTGCACTTGTGGTGTATCCGTGTCGAATTTTCACCCTAGACATCTAGAATTTTTCAAAAAATTCGAAACTGAATAACTATATTTTGCATTATAACTTTGAAAATGTAAAACTGATTGCTCTGATATCTTGTAAATATTTTAAGTCGGTCGTAATCATGGTAAATCGTTAAGCAAAATTTATTCGTTTACCCCCTCCCAAAAAATTGATGATGTCATCTCAAAATTTTTCCGGATAAATCCAAAATGTGCAAAATATGTGGTGATTGATCATTGCATTAATAGTTTTTAAATTTCTTATACAGGGTGACTCATAAAAATTAATGAAAGAGTCAATTTACTGTATTGATTAAATAGGGAACGGCTCACTCCGTTTTCCCCCGAACATTTGGGAATACAATACAAAGTAATATACGTGCTTTTACAAAAATGGTGATGACGATATCACAAAATTTTGTTAAGGGAAAACTCATTTGGAACGTACGCCCAGCATGCTTCTTTGTATTTACTTTAACGTTACATACATATCTTTATTTTAACTTACTTTAACGCTATATACATTTATTTTAGCTTATAAAGGTTCTCAAAAAAAATTAGCATAATTAAATGTTACAATTTTTCGAAAAAGCTGGATTTGTTTTATTGTATTTCAGGGGCGAGGGAAGGACTCTCGAAATAAGCTTCGACCAATTTTTTTGAATTTTGTATACACGGTGTGTCAAAAAAATTAATGAATTACTTTGTTATTATGCTGTATCTATCCAAATTGATACATTTATCTCTGCTAGAAAATTGATGACGTCATCACAACATTTGCTTAAGGAAATCGCATTTGAAACATAGAGATATGTTCCTGTATTTGTGGTTTACTCCTGTTTCAACTTATAGGAATTTATACAGGGTGTCTCAGCTAAAGTTTCGCGGCCTAACCTTGAGAACCCTAGAGATAGCGGAGTTTCAGCTGGAACACTCTGTATACTCATGGACAAAAATACGGAATATTTTGAAATTAATTTTTTTTTTCAATATGACTATTTAAACTTAAATCCGGGCTATATAGTGACCAATCTAATCTTTTTATATTCTATATTTTGGGTCATGAGTATATAATAAAAAAGATTTACAGAATGAAGTTCTATAACTCATCTGAGGAATTAGACTTGGTTAATTGTTTGTGCTTCCGATGCGAGGGAAGTTCTTGTTAACAACTTTAGACCAATCGGACGAATGATTACTTTAATGTTTCTCCAACATTCCATGATTCCTAGAGTACGAAAAAATAAGTCTCCGGTTTCTGTTTGTCTGTTTGTCTGTCTGTCTGTCTGTCGCCTGCCTGCTTGTCGTCTGTGTAAATTTTTATTAGACAGACAATCTCCGAAAGTAGCATCATTTTATTTATTAAAGTACGAGTATATTAAGAGTTTGCTGAATTTCATCAAGATCTGTTTACGTTTGGGATAAATAGAGCAAAAAAAGTAAGCTAGAAAACTAAAAAAGGTAAAGATTTGAAAATTCTCTCGTCCAATATGTAGCCAGTTTACTCGATGTTTTATAATTCCTTGAAAATGAAAAAATAGGTTCCCCGTATCCGCCTGCCTGTTGTCTGTCGTCTCTATCGAGATTTATTATACCGATGAATTGATGATCTATAAAACTACTGAACTGATGTCAAATTTTATAATATTGTTGGATGTTCATAAGATACAATCTTAGAAATATCGTCATACAAAATTTCTCTAATCATCCCCACCAACATCTGATGATGTCATCTAAAATTTTCCATAATAAATATTACTTAAATTTTATATAAGAAAAAACAAACTCCTGTATTTGTGGTTTATGAATCCGCCTTGAGTGTTTCCTTGGGCCCCACGTTTTAGTAAAAAAAATTAAATTGAATAACAACCTTAAGCTATGCGCTTACAATGTGTTCGCAATGCAAAAGTCATGGGTTTGATTACCTTATACGTTTTTTACTTCCCGAGCGTAAGCAATTACTTCCCGAGCGTAAGCAAAGGAAGTATTGTAATCGAGTCCGTCGGCCGACTTTCTACTTTTACGTTTTCTCGATCTTTCATGACCCCTAGAAGACGAAGAAATAGGTCTCCCATTTCCGTCTGTCTGTCCGTCTGTCCGTCTGTCCGTCCGTCCGTCTGTCCGTCTGTCCGTCTGCCCCCGGATTTTTATTAGACAGATAATCTCCGAAAGTACTCGACCGATTGTTGTGAAATTTTGTACTTATATTAAGAGTATCATGTAGATGGTAAAACGCTAACCAAAATTTGTCTAATCATCCCCACCACTAATGCGATGACGTCACTTCAAAATTGTACATAGTAAATGGGTTTTCAATTGTATAAAATAACATAGTCCTACACATGTAGTTTACAACTCCGAATCGACTTTTCACCCGAAACGTCCAGATTTTTGGGAAAAAAATCAAAATTATAAAACAACATTTTGAAATTTAATTTTTAATCTGCTAACCAGAATGCTTTGAAATGTTGCAGATGTTTTAAGGCTATAAAGAGCATCATAAAT